AATAAAATTATTATTACAATAATTATAAAATTATTATATTATCATCATCATCATACTAGTTAAAAGGGAAATTAACATTGAAATGTGTGCCTGCACGCTGATATGTTGGTCGTATGTTGATGTAATTAGACCAAAGAGCTTCAGAAGGTTAAACACTTGGGTGGGTAGGGTTTACCAATTCAGGTTCAGGTTTTTGCTCAAATTCTCCATAATAAAATGTGCTTTTTGCTAATAATATTAACACAAGTAAGAAATTCTTTTGAAAATACTATGAACAAATTTAAATAAATCGTAATAATATTTCAAAAGCAAAAATGTTAGTAATGCACATAGATCCTTCTCTGGACACTGCTCCCCCCAAAAAAAGATTCTTAAGCTGTTTATTTTTTCCCCTAAAGTCTTTAATTTGAAGCATTTCTTTCTCTTCCCTAGCACGACATAGATGAATTTGTATATAAAAGGTATCAGCCAGCATTTGTCCCAGAAAGTAACCAAAAAAACCAAACAAAACTCAGATCATCTTAGATAAAACACACTATGTGTTTATTGAAAATTTTCAAGAGAAAGAAGCAAAAGATGTATTTTCATTGTTAAAGAAACAACTGAATGGGTAACCGCAAAACACTTTAACATTTCATCAACCAAAACTTTTTGTCTACCTGGCAAAATATATGTCAATCTGTTTTAACTATTAACATGGAAAATTAGTACTTTCAAAGAAATATCAAGTGTCCTTGAAAACCATATTAAAAATACGTTCTCTTTCATAAGTTGAAAGTGAGAGCCACAAAGGTGCTCGTTTGTGTATTGTCAAGATGTTTCCATACGTAAACTGACGTAAATTATAATTTCTTACTTTCAGAATCAGAATAAAGATTATGGTAATCTCCTCAACTACTGATATATATCCATTTCAAACATAATTGAGATAGAATAGTATTTTATTTTATGAAAAGAGTACTTTTTCAGATGATGTCTTTCTCTCAACAATTTAATAAACACAAAATCATGTTTACCTCCATCTACATGGAATTTCAGTAAGAAAAAGCGTGCTTCACATATAAGATGAAGATAAACCCATGCAGATTTCCTCTATGCTTTAAAGAGTTAGCTAAAATGGCTAGATTGCAGAATTATGTCAGTAAACTACTAGTTTTGCCAGCTTTCATCTGCATTTCATTCATTTGCTAGTATTTTGATTCAGTTAGCTAAATGAAGGCAGAAAGAGTGGAAAAGTGTTAGGTTTTGTTGATAGATTTGTCTGCATAAGGACATTTGTTAGCATGGCAAGGTTGATGAGGAACAAGGGAAAAAGATGAAACAGCCTTGCTAGCAAAACTGTATCAGCCATACCTCTGCATAGGTATGAAGTTTGAAAGTTGGTGTGACGTAGATTTTACAGAACAAAGTGTCACAGACTTGTTCTGAATGATTCAGAAAACTTTGTACCTATTTCCCCTTTACAGAAATTATGAATAATAAGGTTCTTAAAAAAAAAATCAGCCTGCCAGATTAATGTCTTTAAAGGCTCCTAGAGCAGGGCCTACGTGTTCAAGAAGAGAAACAAAATTTACGTTAAATTCCGGTTCCTGAGAAGAGCTAAATGCCTTTTCAGTAATAAATAAATAAATAAATAACATCAGCGTGTGTTCCTCTTATTTTAATTTTTTTTAAACAGTGTTTTGTGAATGAACATATTCCTTTCATGATGTATTTTAAAATTAAGAATGAATTTCCCATCTATAGCTCCTTTCACTTTGCTAGAATTCAAACATAAATACAAGGTAAAGGCATTAAAAATTTTAATCCTTTATACAACTTCAAGTTTTCCTTAAACATTATAGACAATACAGAAATATACTAAAGAAACCCAACATGTATGAATGGAAACAGCAATTTCCTTATTCCTGTTCTATCAGAAGAATTAAGTATTTTGGCTAACTTTGAAAACAGGGAAAAAAAATTGTTCAGTGACTCAAGTGCTCACAAACCAAAATCTTTCCATTTTTAGCTTATATTAAACTTGATTTCTTTGTTGTTTAAGATAAATTCTGAATCAAAATGCACATCCAGCCTTTATGAATGCAGGTCAGATAGTTCAATACAATCCCCCGATGTTTTAAGCACATCTTTGATGATGTAAAGCTCAAGGTGCAAGAGTGACATCAGGTAAAAGGGAGCAGGATTGCAATGTCTCAACAAAATGTTCATTAGAGGAAGATCTTCTTTTGTGAGAATGATAAAGTAGAAAAAAATTGTCAGATCTCTGGGCCGAATGTCACCATCCAAAGGAGCCTGTGACCAGAGGGCAACTCTTCTTTCAGTGGTTTACACCGTAGCCCCCCCTGAAAAATGAAGAGTGAACATTCAGTATTCCCACCATGGATGCCCTTTGCCAGCTTTTCTGGGCTTCTTTTTGCTCCAGTCCTTTTGAGGCAGTAGGTGGGAATCTCATATACCCAGAGATGCACAAACAACTTTCCCTGTTTGTCTCACTCCCCATTTCCAGAGGGCAGTGGGATCACTGATCTGATGCTTTAGTTACACCCATGCCACAGAAACAGAAGAAAATAAGTGACTGTTGGAGCCCTGAGGGTACAAACAGCCTTCACGGCCCTGATCAGTCTCCCCTGGGGCATCCTGGGCCGTGCTCCGGCTGGATCTCCCCCGTGTAACCCTGCCCAAGCCTTCCCCCAGCACCCGGACAGCAGCGGCTGCCCCAAAGCCCACCATGGCACCCCCAGGCTGAGCCTTTCTGAAGCGCGGGGGGATCCCAGATCTCTCAGATGTGCCTGTGAAGCTTCTCCACACACTTCTTGTGTTTTGCTCATGTCTTAGTCGTTAGTCCCGTTACGGAACAAATAACACGAATTAGAAATTTAAATTGACCTCTATGGCAGGCGGGGGCAAGGGGACGGGTGTT